ATACTACCAAACATCCACGACCCTTAGTAAGGAAGAAAAGACTTCTCACGACGGCAGTATCGGAATTGATTGCGCTTTTCGGGGAATCTGACTAGGTATTCCTCAAGCCTATGTGGGTCACAATTAAGAAATTACTTTATGCTCGCGTTTGAGATTAAGCAAGCGTACCGTACCGCGCTGTTAGCACAAATACGACATTGATCCTGGCAAGTACCATTCTCTGAAACCTAAGTATTAAAGCTTATGCCCTGGCACGACCCGACGGATGATGTGCAGCCAACGTGTCGAGAATGCGGCAAAAAGGATAGGAGGCAACAACAAAGCATATCATCTCCTACAAATAGACCTAAATTGCACGTTCTGGTGGAAAGCTCACTACCTAGCGCAAATTCTCACGGATCACAAAACTATCTCCATAAAAATGGTAAAGCTTCATCGGACATCTGTATTTCTTTGCCTCACAGGTTTGGGGGCTACGGTACATAGCAAGCTCATTCGCACTAGAGCAAGACATGATAGGAGAGATTAGATTATTTCTAGGAGACGGCATAGGTGTCTATACAGTAAAAGTAATCTTAAAGGAAAAAGGACGGTTCGTAAAGTTACGGCCGTGCAGTGTAGCAGAACGTACTTTTTCAGGTCTAGGGGATACAAAAAGGGTCATACCTCTGTGTAGTTTCCTACACAGGGGTATGACCCTTTGTGTAGTTTCCTAAACATTGGAAACCTGACCGGGATGAGCCGTCTTAATAATCCGGTGGCACCAGCTACTCCCGCCCGTCAGCCTGAAGTACCGTTAGATAAAAGACCGCGTTGATTCAGAGCGAACCTTGACGAAAAAATCGAAAATTAATTTCGACAAAAATAGATCCAGCAGGCGAAGCTGAGCCTCACACTTACCTCACATTAAATAGAGATTATAGTTCGGTGGTGCATAAACTTTATTATTGAAATCCTCTATACAAGAAGTTCTTGTTTAATTAATGTTCCTCTCAGCTGTAAGTCGAGCACAAAACAGTAAACGAAACTGGCTGCAATAGTAAAGTAGGTTACTGTGCCAACCGCGTCCGTTGTCAAAGTACATGCTCAATTCAATTCAAAGCTTATGTCAGTTAGTAGTTATGTTGAAGTTGGCTCAGCTATGTCGCTATCTGTAGTTGATGCTTATATAAAGATAATCACACATTAGTAATTATATATTTCATCAATCATAAATTTAAACAGATAATATCTGCTCTCTTACAATACTAGAGCAGATCGAAGATGAAAGCAAGACAGTAAAAACTTTATGAAAATACATTGTCTGAATACGAGTGGTTCGTGCAAGTATTTGGAGCCTTAGGAAAACAATAACATTGTATATGAACTAAAAACTCAAATTTATAGAAAAGGCAAGCCTTGATCGTGGAGTTCTTGTCCACGCATAACTATTTATGAGAGAAAAAACATGGCGACTGCGTCGCAAGTGCTGGTTGAGCATCGAACTGATTTATTGATGTATTTCTTAATCGGTCAACGTCCTTTAAGGGTCTCAAAATTGAACGACAACAGCTAAATAATATATCCTAACTAATGATATTTTCTCACTGGCGTACATAATTAACACAGTAAATCATCATTCGCTGTCATTGTATCTATGTCGGTAATCTATGATTCAATGATGCGTTGAACGGGTCACTCATAATATTCGTCACATAATGACAGATGATGATACAAATTTACCGGAAAAGATCAATATTGGTCCTTGAGACGTTGGGCTCGTTGAATCTGGCCTTATCACAGTTAACGACTGACGAAGCACTGCAGAGCCTCGCTAAATCAATAGATTATGTAGTACTTAGTAGTATGAACACGGAGGATGGAGATATCAAACGGGTTTATTCGTACGTGGTATATGGTCGTTGGTTCCCGCGGTTGTATAGATCGCGTTCAGGTTTCGCTGAAATCCTGCAAAAGCGTCAAAAACCAGCCAGAAGCTTTTTTTACGCCCGCTAATCATCATCATCATCGCTTTATTCGGATAAAGAATTTTGTCTTCGAACTCGAACTTGAAGTTAAAATTTTAATTTATTTAACTCTCTCTATATATATATATATATGTAGTGATAATTTCCACATAATGCAACATAGAAAGACGTGCTAATATAGAGAGTTTGAACAAATTTGGGAGTAACGAATCCGCTTACAAGCTGGTTAAAGACAAACCTCAAATAAGCGATAGAATTGATTGAAATGGTTATAGCGGCAGTAATTGCGATCAGAAAGAAATGAAGCCTTTTGAATGTGGCCTATTTAGACTTGAGCCGTTGGACGAGACAAGGCGACCCAGTTCCATAAAAACCGACATCAAAGGATCTAACAATTCTAAATAAATACAATTTCAAATTTTCAACTCAAGAACTTCGCCACTATCTTTTATTCAGCTTTATTTTGCTAACACAGTTGACGCTTGATAAGTGCTGCTTGGACGGGCAAAATAAGACGCATTCAATGATAGCTGTATCATAAACTGTACGGCCAGTAAAATGTTGAATGTAATTCGAAAACAACATTAATAATTTTTTGGGTGGGGGCATTGCTTAAATGTCTGGCAGCAATCCGTTTTAAGTCAAAAACAACAAAACGGCGTAACCATTTTTTTTTTTCATACTCTGCTTTAGAAACAAATATAGTAGTTTTTTTTTTTTTTTTTTTTTTTAGGAAATAGTTAAAAAGCGTACTTACATTGAACTTATGTACACAAAAATGTGAGGTCTTGTTCGTTGCAGTAGAAGTATGGATTTAGGAAAAACACTTTATAAACAATAGTGGAATAGCTAATATAAACTAATTACACAATCGAAACGGTATGATGGAGGCATATTACTGGAACGGTATAACCAACTGGACACTGCAAAAAAATAACAAAGTGACTAGTTTATGTTACTAGAGCGGATTGATGGTAGAGACGAAATAATAGAAATAATGCAATAGGTTGGCAAAAAATTATAGTTCTCTGGAATAGAACTGTAAGCCAAATACTATCCAAATACTAAGCCATATGTAGAGTAAGAGCTAGAAGTTTTTCTTCTCGACAGCTTTAGAAACTGTAACTTGTATGTCAGGTCCTTATAGTTGCTTGGTAAGGCAATAAAGCAATCAGAAAGCCAATTTAATTCTAGTTCTCTTTATTATGATCCTTGCAATATCTGAGGTCGCCCGCGACTTCGTAACGCCATTCAATTAGCTTCGGAAAACCCAGTATGGGTCTTATGTTGCTTCGGATAAATTAGCTGTTAGCAGAAAAAATTGTAGCTTTATCTCATGAACAACTTGCGTCATCAAGTTAAATAGTTGTTGGCTTACGTCTTTTTTCGAATATGTCGATTTTGTATCAAAACCAAAAATATTGATCTGTTCGTTGATGTTGTTCTGTGTTTTTAAAGCTAGAACCCACGCCACCATCATCATCAATGTTGTATTGACTAGGTTTTTCTTTGAATAAAATAAATGATTTTTATTTCACTTAAATTTACTGAGAACTGAAGGTTTCAGGAAGTTAGAATTTAAACGTCAAGCTGTCGGTTTTCAAATTATCGACACAAGTTTTGTTCTTGGTTAACAATAAAGTCCACAAGAAAGCGGTCCCCTTTTGATGAATTGGTCTTTATAAGTGCGCTAGGATGCTGTTAGTTTCTTTGTCCAAACAGATTTACGAAGAAAAGGTCGAAAAAATATTAAAATCTCTATATAGACGATATGAATTAAAAAACAAAGCGATAAAGAAGCAACAGAAGAAAATAAACACATACCTGTAGGAAGTTATTCTTGAAGCCGCTGTGGCTAGAATAACTGTACAACTTATTATACTTACACTTAAGACGGTAGCTCTATATTACGATATATGTTCCTAATTTCTAAATAATAAGTTACTTTACGAAGTCGTGTCTCTAAAGAAAAACAAGTAAAACATTATTTATAGAATAGTTTCAATTAGAACCTTGTACAGTTCATGTTGAAATTCTTTATACGTCAAAAAGCTTGACTCTTTAGTCCTGTATATGTAACTGCTTTAAATAACCATGACCTATTTTTCAAACGCTAATTATGTTCACAACTATTTTGTTTCAGATATGGCTGATCGCCCACTCCGAGCGTCCCAATTCACCATTAGAAATTAATAGTTTCTAAAAAAGGAGGGCCTAGTAAAGGGGTCTGAAGGTGGATCTTGCTCCGATAAAAAGGTGGCGCTCAAATATCAGCATGTATCTAATAACAAATAAAATATACGATCCTATATATATATATATATATAATTATGCATCTCATTGCATGGGTGACTTGTTATTTTCAGGAGGTCCGCCGAAGGTTTGTAAAAGGTAAGCATCGTTACGGTTTGTTATTGCTTTCATTAGACGAGATTTATTACAGGCTAGAGAAAAAAAATTCACAGATATCTGTATTTCCATACCGATTCAACTGTTAATAACATCTGTTATCAATGTGAAATATTGTTATGGCTCGAAAACCGTGGAGCAGTTGTAGCACTCCATGTCCACTCTGCTAATATCGTTATACCTGATTCTCATACTCTAGTCAAAGACCCTATTACATAGGTGACCTAATGTAAGTACAAGTGTTATTTTTGCAATAATCCAATAACCCAAATTGACTCTATGACGATTGAATTTAACTATCCTGTCATATAAGATCTAAGGAGAAAAAAATCATACAGTAAATAAACGATCTTCGATTAATTTGGGAGACATGGCCACCCACGAACATGGTTTATACTTACAGAGGCTGGGATAAAAAAATTCGCACAGATTTTGGCGGGCTGTTCGTTGTAGCGGGTACGCGTTTGTCCACTATTCTTAATACAGGAAGAAAACCAGCTCCATTGAAAAAGAAAGTACATTATAGCAGGAGGTTCATGCTCGTAGTATGAAGATCAGCTATTGTTCAATGTCGTCGAATTGGAAATGCTCTACCTAATTAAAACCTTTTTAATTATTTTAAATCGAAGGCTTGTGCTCTTGCCAGTCTTCACACGGCTTACGAAGAGTCGGAGGAGGACTCCATTGTTCCAGCGTGGAAGATTAATTGCAAAAGACGCAAAAATGCAAATCTAAAGGTAGTAATATATCGATCGAAAATTTAAAAGCTATTTTCTTCAAACGTAGGTATAGCATGGCTTATGAGGATCTTAAATCTATGTTATATAATCGAAAAATCACTGCAGATACCCTCTGAAAATACCAACGCAAAAAAACTTTCTCATAGGCCTGCTCCTTAAAGTATTTCTCAGCGTAAGGCATACGACCGTCCTTGATACTTCCTTTGGAAAATCCTTACCACCAATGCAAATATCAGTGAGAGAATGGATTATAGGTCCGTTCGCTAAAATATGTTTAATTTGGATTAAACTAAATTTCTTTTGTGTACTTATATCCTAGAGAAGACAAACAATCGGGTACGACGTCAAATCGTGACGTCTCCTTCACATATGTAAAACCATTAGCAGACAAAGAATAAGTAGCTTTTATACAAATAGTGGCAGAACCGTAACGGAAGAGGGCGCGTCTATCGATAATAAATACCGTGACTCAACAACATTCTAAAGTTTTAACTTTTTAAAGAATTAACTTAGGAGCCTAAGACTAAGCCCATTGTATGTATCGAGACGTTGTTCAATCTTACCAACATCGCCTAAGCGATGATCATTAATAAAAAAAAAAAGTTATTAATGAACTTAGAAGAAAGAAAAGCTTTCGGGTGCTTTCGGTTTTGAATAGATTAAAACGAACGACAGCTACGTACGACAGGTACGTTCGATACAGATGTTTCCGTTGGCGTATGCAACATCAATCGTTCTTTCACTTTATCCTGAAGACGCTGTAGATAGCAACACAATTAATCATACCATATTGACTACACTTTATCCAGCTCCTCCTATATAACTGCACGTGTATGCAGGTGGACGCTTGCATATCGTCATTGGAGTAGCCATGCGGACCAGTCATTCCGCTGTACTCTTTAGAACTTGGTATCTTTCATTTTTCGTGCGCCTTGTGTTTTCCATGAATGAATATCTTTAGCTTTATGTCGGCCCGTTAGAGATTACTTAGGACGGCTAGATGTCAACGCCCGATTTCAAACGTGCCACAGCGACACATTGTGTGAGACACAAAGCTTGCTACTATTAGGAGCCGCGTTCGAACTTCGGAGTTCGTCTCTAGCTCCTTCGATTGGATTCGTTTTGTTTTGACAAGATAACGTAATGTGCTCTTTAACTCGATTCGATGGCTTCTTCGGACGGCCACCCTATCGTTGATTGGTTAACAGTACGGGCGTCGTAGCCTTGTGATCCTCGTATGTTGATTGTTAAGCAGTTCTCTTTTGTCATGTATAATCGTGTTTTTCTATGCACAGTCTCCCCATTATGACTTACGGGAGTGGCCACGAAACATTCGCTTGTACCGCGTATCCAGCTGATGACTAAGCAAAGCCAATGTTTATCAGAGAAATGCGAGAACGATGAAAAGTGTGCCGGTCTCTGCTTATGAAAAACATACTACAAAGCAATCTGAGGGGATCACAGTCATTCGAAGCCTTAATATTCCTAGAATCGGAGCTAGTCGATTGTCGACAAAACAGACGCGCGCTATTTTAGCAGAAAATATGAACAAGAGCGTGCAGGTCTATGTGCGACCGTGACACGCGCTGGCGTAGAGGAAATCAACTGCTGATAAGAGATTAGCAAATCCGTTACTTTACTTAGAAAAGTATCGTCTTTTTTTTGGAAAAAAACAAACTATCGCGATCACGACGACCAAGAGACACTTCAGAGTAACAAACTCCTTGGCCGTATGAGTCTGTTTCTCCATGTGCGTGTGTTAACCCATGCGATGCACTATTAATAGTGTTGAAGACCCGCTGGAGGGTTCTGGAAAAATAAAACACCGACTGGAGATGAAAATCCTGTGTAGCCCAATAGGCTCGGCCGAACAGGAATGGGCTTAATATTATTGTAGTATGATTTTATGAATAAATACACGTCTACGGCAATACAAACGCAACTATAAAGTGCTCGTTTTAAAGCTTTAGTGCGTAACCGAGATTGCCATCATTGCCCCAACTGACTGTGCGGGCATTCGAAACCGGTTTCACGATTGGCCTGTTCCGCAATTTTTTTTACCATCTTCATGGCCCATAACCCCCTGACCTACTTATGCATTGTCAAACTATACTTTGTAACCACGGGACTCTCTACGGATCGCGATTCAGCTGGGGAATTATCGCAGGACCTTTCGTCATTACACCTCGATCATATTTTGCCAACATCGACTGCCTGACTTAGCAGAAAAAAATTTGATTATCCTGCCACTATGTCTTTATAGTATACTGCTATTAAAAGAGTACACGTTGGCTTTCGTTTTTGCAGCTTAGAATGAACTAACACCTGAAAAATAATAAGATAGAAGATGGCTTTCTGTTGGATTCAGCGAACCTATACACGTGCGACTGTCATCAAAAACCCTATCATTAAGAGACTTTAATATTTCGTTACTTTGAGACGGTAGTTCTGTTTAGAAAAAATTGTACGAACCGAGAACACAGTCACAAATCAGGGAGAGAATCCTTATTATTATTATTACTATTATCACCTAAGTTGAGTTAGTACCCTTATTAACGGATATTTCTCTTATATGCATACTAATCATGGTAGTTGCTATAAGATTTGCGCCAACCTGTTCTTTTCAAAGGCTCATTTTAGGGTATCGAATTTTAGTTTCGAGGGTATCTGTTGTTCCCTTCGTAGTTCTATATATATATATATACATACATATATATATTTACTTGACGATCCGGATGATAGCTCCGGCATATTTCCCCAGCACGGTTCCCCATAGGGATGCTTTCTTTAACTGCGCAAGGTAAGTATTACATATGTATACACTCTGTATCCTGTCGCTGCTGTGTCATGTAACTGTAGTGTCCTAACTTTAGGAAACCTTTAGTGTCCTAACTGTAGCTTTAGGCATATGCGAAAGTTTGAGGTGTGCATATAATCATACATTTTTGTTTAAGATTAAGGTAAGAACACTGAACATTGACAAGAATTCTGCTATTCATTAAAGCTCTGATCTTGACCCGATGCTAATAAATATCGGACAAGTTTCAAAATGATGAGGTTTTTCAATACTGACAAATGGTGCATTTTTATGCCTGCATCCTAATAAAACTTTTTTTCTCTGTCTAGTCGATAGGTTCAGTAATACATACATGTACCAATAAGTATGCCTAACCGCAGTCGAAATAAAATGTTCATTGATCTATATAATAATGCTATAAATATAGTATGAAAACACAAACCTTCGAAGAAATATATGGTCGGAAAAAATGAGTTCTCTCACACCGCAATTATATGTTATATAAATTTAATTTACTATCAAATCTTTCTGACTGTTTTAGTTTGTGCAACGGATGTAGAATTCCTAGTTTCCTGAACCGGCTGAATCGATGTCGATATATATATATATATATATATATATATATATATACATATGATCCTGCAGGTTCAGAAAATCGCGCAACTTCTAAATTTAATGTCAACTTCAATATACACTACATTGTTCGTGGATATTTCACAGATCTTATATACATACATAGATATGTATGTATCTATACATATATACCTAGTTAAAATTTTAACACGCTATTGCAATGCCAATAGAAGTTGTTATTAGCTTTTACTTTAGGCAAAATTCATTCGCGCAAGTTACTACTGATCCTTACCAAGTCTCTTCATAAACTCAGATCTAAAGCAACGAGTAAATTGAATTCTATATGCCCGCTTCCATTAACAGATCACCAAGCACTGGACACTGTCTATCAAGCCAAAAGCATGACTTTTCACCGAATTCATTAATTACCAAAAATAACCCCTCAAGCCTCGATTCAAAGTAGAAATTATAAAGGCTAAACTTTAAAGCGATACAGCGATTGCTGGGCTTTAACTATAAGGATACGAGGAACTATCATCAAATTAAGCATTCACCCTTTAAAACGTTGGTAGCAAACTTCAACACTATGCATTACAAAACTAAGTTAGAACACAGTCCGCAGTATAATTAGACATATACAGTCTACGGGACGTGTGCAGAAACAAATTAATACGTTCCAGCATTTATAGATTTGTTTTAACTGTGAATTAACCATGAGCTATTACCTACGTTTACTTGTTTAAGATGGCGTTGGCTACGTTATGGCACATGGAGCTTCTTATTACGTTTTTGTTAGGAGTACTTCCTCTTTTCTCACAGAGTCAAAATAGCAAAGTGGGCATCGAACCGGTGTATACATTCACATTGGTCAGCGTTCCAACAGTGCCCCGTTTGGGACCAGACCCAACGCCTGCACTGATTGGAGCCAACCTTACTCTTATAACGTCACCAAAATACGACATCACACGGCTACTAGCTGTACCAGTGAATATCGTTAAACTTCATCGCAAACATACAAATAACCAGATTCAGGTAAGTGTCTCAGGCTGTATGCTTCAAGTCTACATTGGCACCAAAACCCCTTACCAGTTGACCACCCATTTTTAATTGTCTGCCCACAGGACTCACCATGCACTATTCTAACTTGCTCATAGTTGGGTATTTGGTTTGTAGGCATGATTTTGAGGCTGGATGAAATAGAACAAACCTAAAACCTAAGCTACGGCACATTCAAAGAAACCTTATAGACAGTATCAAGATATTCTGGATTGATCGATGATAAGCCGTTAGTAGACGCATGATAAAGGTCAACGTAAATATCAATTATTTGATGTTTGTAATGAACCAGCCATCATTTGAGTGACTGACAACGCATGCGTTCGAACTCTATCTATTGAATAGCTATAGATTTCTATTGTGATAACATTTTAACTACAGTATATGATGACGTTTACAATGTTCTAGGATGAGTTGAACCCAGAAGTCGTCACGAATTCAGGAGTTGTCCGTGGTTTTCGACAAACTGTTATAGGACGAGGTATTGACACCTTCCTAGGAATACCTTTTGCAGAGCCGCCCATAGGCAACAAACGGTTAGTGTTATGGACAGGACGTATCTTTTATTTTTTGCTCTCTGCTCACTGTCCCAATACCCGGAGCGGTTACTAAGATCGTTTGAGGAGTACATTTGATTCTTACAAGTGACACAAACTATCGAGTCTTTTAAATTGAGCTCTTTTCCAACAGTTTATATTAGTGTGCGATGATGTGTGTGAGCAAATGCAGATGTAATTATAGCCTCGAAAAAAAGCAGTATTTCTAATATAGATTAATAAAAATAGAATTAGGGTTTAAAATATTCTTACATTAAAAAACAACAGTTGGCCTATTGTCACCAATAATCGTCTATGTAAACGTGTTCCATAAAATACCATGATGAAGTATCAATTGATAATTTACTCATCAATCAATCAATCAATTAATAGTATTTACTAAGAACAGCTGAGCAATTCTTTTCAGCATAATATATAGAATAAACGTTTATAAAGCAACACAATATGTAACCAGGCAATACTGTAAATGGCGATCACATCGGGCGGAACATTAAAAACGTTGCCTTATATATAACCGAATAACTGCAACACGGGACGTTGTAAGTTGTTTGTTATATTACAGTAGCGTTTTCCTAACGCGCATTGCTTAACGAAAGCAACCTGCCGGACTAACAATCGATCTTGAATAAATTCATTCAATCAAACTAAATTTAATTTTGTCAGTAGCAAAATCTGGCAGTAGTGCAGACCTTGGACCTCAATAACGGCATTCGGTAACTTTAACGTGTTCTAGATTTCGACGACCCTCACGTGTAAGACGCTGGTCCGGAATACTCGACGCTCTTGAATTTGGTCACCCCTGCTACCAGGTACCACTAACTTGATCGGAACGATTTATAGCAAGTTGAAAAGTTTGAGTACCCATGAAGCTCGTAGGGTAGAATAGTGACACTCTGGTATATTTTGAACGCGTTTCGCTCTAGGACGGAATCAGCATTCCGGAAATTTCTCAACAATTACGTTACTGTTTTTTGCATTATCAGAACTAATCTTGTTTTCGACAGCTCGTTTAAAACAATCGGCGGTAGATATGTTACTTATCGTTCTCTCTTAGGTATGGGTGCATCGAAATCATACGGACATACATACGTATGACAAATTTTGAAATCAAGGCCGTTGTACGATTCTGTTGTTCTCTGTACAGGCCACGATTTAGGTGTGGTGGTTAGTTCGTGCATTGTCCGCAGTGGCCTTGCTAGGTGCTGTCGATTGTGGCCTTATACATCCGTGAGACTTTCCATGAGTTCAGGACATCTAGCAGCATTGACCGTCTGTTTTTCGGGCGGCGCAAATGCTTCTAACATTCATTGCGAATATAAGCATTAGGTTACGCCGGATCTAGTTGGCACTGCCGCCAAAGCAACGTTCTTTCCTTGTTGATGCCTTTTCATCACCTAATCCTTTTTTCACTGACGGCACAAATTGACCTATATTTCGCTTATTTCAACCGGGTGCTTCAGACTGGTTTCTGCTGCTGATAGTTCTGCTAATTGTCCTTCGAGTACACCACATATGTTTCTACGTGTACTTGACGAAATTAGAGAAGGAACTCATTGTTTGTCTTTTTTTTTTTTTTTTTTTATATTAAGTGTTTCCATTACAATTTTATAGCAGGTACTTAAAGGAATCCAATATCGGGCTGACAAAAAGCGCATGGTCTACGCCCCGTTTCGCTCAAGAGCCATCGTTCTTATGTTTGAGTTTCTGAGGTGTAGCCATCCCTGTGGACTCAGACTTCCGAATTTCTACTTTTTAAATAATTGTATTAATAATGAGTTGTGATTCCGCTGAAGGGCCTCCTTGCCCGGTGTTTCCGTCGATCTTCAACGGACCCCACTAGCAGCGTTCTTCTCTTCAAGCAGCAACAACGGGTCACTCAGAATTGATTTTTAGCTCTAAAATATATTTTTATCTCTAACTCAGCATTCGATGGCACTCAGTCAGCATGTAGGCGTAGACATCGACGACGTTTTGTATGCTTATGGTGCACAGTTTAAAAATTGTTTAAATTTTTATATGCGTTAACTGATTCCAAACAAGCTAGCACATCTTTAGCCCCAACACGGACTATGTTTCCTGGAACCGATCCTTCTTTTTCAGCAGCTTTCGTTGCAATAGAAAGTGTTCGACCACCCAGTTTTTTTGTGTCAATCATCCCCGCATCACTAAAGACGTACAACTAATTATTAGTAACCGCATTGGCATTTTTCTGTCAACGGCCAGCTCAACTATACCACTAATTGGCAATGGGTACTCCCGAAGAAACCCCAGAGTGAGGACTGTCTAACATTAAACATCTGGACGCCCAGCCCACCTCATACGGGTGATTTTGATGAAAACACCGATGGCTGCGGACACAATTATCACAGGTTAGTTTTAACTATCATGCCATTTCTCGTACGATAGGGACATTAATAGTACCGTTCACTAGATACGTCGATAGATAAGATGGTTTGTAATGAAAAAATACCTGCAATGAATATATTGATTAGAAGATTGCGAGCATTGAGAAAGTGGCAAGGCATTTCACTTGCTGCGTTATCAGTTCGATGTACTTCCTATTACGTAGTAAATAATCATGCGAATGTGGGTGTTTATATAACTGTGCGAACTATTTTATGGCGAGCTATAGTAAATAAATAAGCATGGAACCGGTAAATGCGGTTGGTGCGCAAGCGGTTTGTACTAAACCAGAGAACGATTTGTGCGCGGATACCAAGCAGGGAACCAGTTCATCGAGAAGAAGAATCTAGTGGCAATGGGATCACGTTTAGGAAAAGGATTGGATCAGATTCAACTGATAAAAGGTACATTTTTCTGCGTTTATATTTAGAGTGAGTAAATGACAGCGCTTGCAAACTCTACAGAAGTCCATGTCCTATAGCATTTGGCTATATCATGCTAAACAGCCTACTGAAAATAGGTACTAGATTAGCCCTGACTTCCCATAGTGTTATCAGTAACAAGTTTCTATTATATACCAAGCCGTTCAGTATGAAACGTGACTAACACGGATCTCCTATTTGGAAACGACGTTATTTCGTAACGATGCAATCAATATCTGTCGATATTTTGGCCTTCACTTGTCCTCTTCGAAACCGTCACTCGGACCGCAGTGAGCCGCGAAAAATCGGAAACTACGAGTCGTTCATGATTGTGAATTGCATCTTGGAACTACAGCGACAGATATAGCTCGAATTTGTATTTGATGTGTGACTTACTGTATCGTTAGTTTAAAAAAATACCAACGAGGGAACTTTGAACTTGAAAATAAGTGTTGAGGGCAATAATGGACTACGACTAAACGGGCATTAGCATTCAGACTTGATATATATGAAAACACCATATCTATTCACCTTCGACAAATAGATTAAGCTCGAAAATAAAAGCATAGACACACTCCGTTTCTGTTTGCTGCTACATTTCAACAATGATGATCCTATACAATACTTAGCATCGTCAGCCTAGGGTAAATGTAAGTTCACCCTATCCCTATGATGATATAGTGTAGGCACCGACAACTCGTCCGTTCTCATCTCAGACCCATGACGATTATAGAGTCGTTTTACGTCGATTACGTCGATCTGGAACATATTGTTTGTAACTGTACATTGAAAAAAACAGATCAGTGAGTAGAAGCATACCACTTCTATTGCACGACAGCCCTCAATTGTTGACAGCAGAAACAGTTTCGAAAACTTTAAAGACCCTTGTACCCTAAGCTTCTGTAGCAATGCCATAAGTAAACTACCATCTGAATGACAGAAAACTGTATGTAATAATGGTCTGCTACATCTACGTTGTTGCACAGCGCCTGTTGTTTATTATGCTATAAATTTCTATTGTATTTGTGCCTACCGAATTGCAGCAGGCGCAGGCGCTATTGTTCGGCACTGAAGACGGTCTTGGTGTTTATCTATGGTGGGGGTTTTAACATCGGCTCTACCGACTGGGAGTTCTACGATGGTCGGATGCTAGCAGCGCGTGGTGACATTGTCGTGGCCAGTATGAACTATCGGCTAGGACCACTTGGTTTCCTGAATGCCAACATTCGGGATGTTCCCGGAAACATGGGACTCTACGATCAACAAATGGCCATAAGGTAACTATTGAAATGTAGAATTATGCAATCTGTATATAACTCCTGCGAGTTACCACTAAGTGGTTCACAAGCCATGGAGATTTATTACAAAGGTCCCCCCTAAGCACGCTACACACGAAAATCAGCGAATATGGATAAAGGGTCTCAGATATTTAAGATTCCAAAAATGTAAATCAAAAGGTGAAAAATAAGTTACAAAAGACTAATCCTTTACGTTCTCTCCGAGCCATAGATGAAGTTTGTTTATGCCTGGATTCAAACCTACACACAACGTACCGAAAATACTGGATGAGCACGTGCACGCTGCGATAAAGGGCTTGTCCAAATTCTAACAAGTACCAACATTAAATGTTTCTTCTGTACTTTAATCTGCAAACTGACGATATTCTTTTAAATGACGAACAGTATAAATTATTAATAATGCTCGAATAACTTGATGAAACTAACCGTTATAGTTGCCCCAAGTGCTACTAACGACATTTTTTATTATAATGCAGGTGGATATACGAGAATATTCGGTACTTTGGAGGCGACCCAAGCAAAATAGTATTGATGGGTGAGTCTGCAGGAGCGGTCTCTGTTGGACTGCATCTCATTTCACCAATGAGCAGGTAAGTCTTGGTTGAGAAAAAAAAAAAAAAAAAAAAAGTAGAATTCTATTATTTTTTTGGGAACGCATCGTACACGGTACTATTTTATACATGGACGGATGCTTATTTACACTTCTCCACATATGAATTTGGTGTTTGTACGTATAAGAGGCGCTGAAATGCCTAACCTTCGATCTGTCATTTTTCTTTAACAGATACATGATTAGGAGAGTCATTATGCATTCGGGCAGCCCCTTATGGGATACACCAGACAACACTATCGACGGACCAAAAAAGGCGAACGAATTTGCTGAAATCTTTGGTTGTGCCAATCGTACGCGTAACTTCAATACTGATCGCGACTCTGTTCTTCAATGCTTAACAGAAGTCAATGCCGAAGAAATGTATACTAAGTCCTTTGAGGTAAATACACATCATGGAGCTCAGAACGGATATCCATTGCGGAGATTTCACTGATAATGACAGATGATTGTGTCGATCAAACACAAATATCATCGACGTCACCTTTCAGATAGAGAGGTCGTACCTCGAAGTGACTGTAGTTTAGTAAAACCGAAAGTTTATTCATATATGTGTTAACTAGATAAATTTACTATCATTACAAGCTTTTTTTTACCTCAAAGACAATGCGATTGTTGTTGAAAACAGAAGCCGCAATAGGCTTAAAGGTTTGCTTATTTGCTAATGAATTTTCACAACAGTTTAATGATTCTGGAGATAATCACACTGGTCTAACGAGACGCTTTTTTCCCAGCTTCTAGGCAAGCGTGTACTGACCTACCATCCTCGTTATGGCGACCAATTTCTGCCGCTCCGACCTAAAGACGCCATGCGCCAAGGTTTTTTCAAAGACGTCGACGTTTTCATGGGTGTCAATAGAGACGAGGGTTCAATCTTTGTAGCTAACACGATGCCTGAGATCTTCATGCGTGGCCCTCTACCCAATATTACTCGCGACGAAGCTTCCTTATATATGATCTTCTTCTTCCAGTACATTTTACGTTCTGGCACCCGTGACATACGAGATCACTACTTTAATAAACTGGACAATAACGATTACACAGGCGTAAGACAAGCGTTTATTGACGCAATCGGCGATTACCTTCAGATTTGTCCGACCGTCTATTTCGGAGAACATTTAGCCGACTTCGGGAACGATGTCTACTTTTATCTATTCAACCACAGACCAAGCAATTCCTACTGGGATGAATGGCTAGGTGTGCGATGCTATGAAAATGGAAATATTCGGTTTTTCTCGTGACCATCGACTGAGTAAAGCCTCTTACGGGAGCTGCCCAATATATATCTTTCTATAGATCTCCATAAAGGACTCAGCTTCGGTGGCCCTGAGCAAGTTTTTTTTAAAACAGGAATTCTCAAAGTATGCTTTGCGTAACACTTGTCGTCATTTAGGATATGACACAGGATTCAAAGAATATAGTAGTCAAATTGCAAGCTAAGCCGCTTCATCTGAACGTGTATTTTTACCGTTTAACTACGATAAAAATGACAACGACGCAATATTCATGTAGAGCTGCTGCTTACTCTGATCGACAGCTAAAGCGTATATAAACGTTAATTAAATGATCGATCTATTATTATTCGACTCTCTCTCTCTCTCTCTCTCTCTCTCTCTCTCTCTCTCTCTCTCTCTCTCTCTCTCTCCCTCTCTCCCTCCCCTTTACTTAACTTCGTTTTTCTTATTTTAGGTGTGGCACATTTTGATGAGATCCAATTTGCATTCGGAATGCCGCTTAGATTTCCTGATCAGTTTACTCCTGAAGAGATTGAACTGTCGAAGAGGATTATGGACATCTGGATAACTTTCAGCAAGGAAGGGTAAGCCGGTCTACTTGTTATCTTCTAAGGTCGAAGGAATATTTATCTCTTTGCATACGAATGCCGCCCTTTTTCTAGTATTCTTGAAAACCTAATAGGAATTCGTTGATCTAAAATCGTCTCATCTGCTCGCAGTACATAACAATCTCTTGTTGTTCTATACTTCACTTTAGTTCTCCACCGATTGTAGGAAATCGTCCATGGCCACGTTATAAAAGAAAGAAGCCGCTTTACATGCAGATTGACACGGGACCATTGACAGAAGGACGAGGACCTCATGAACAAAACTGTGCCTTTTTCAAAAAATATATTCTCAGATAGATTAGGGTGTGCGCAACAGTGCATCTATGCCAACAAAGGTTGTACCCGAACATGATCTATCTAGAAGATAATTTTGTATGTCATTTTGATGTATACGGCACAAAGACTGTGTTTAAAATTCTTCCTATTTAGAAAGCCAGCGAGAATTTGAAGAAAGCATGGCTTACCTTCGTCTTTCCTGTTTGTCAATTGCTCTAATAGACATCGTTCACATAAGCAACCAGCCAACAATCCTTTGCAGGGAATTTTGAATTTCATACGCTGTAGCGCCACTGTGTACTGCAGATTTGGCTGTTTAGATAGAGAAATCAGCTCTTAGAACATTCGGTTCCCAAGATACGTAAGGTAATTGTTTCTTATGATATGTAATTACTCACTTTATAATCGAGAGCGTTGGGCGCTTGCTGCAACATCAAATGTTTTACCGTTCCATTACTAAGCTGTGATAATAGAATTCGCAGCCTATGAGACAGATTCTCAGAGCGATTTATACTCATAGTTCGTTCTTTAAGTTAAAGAAGGTGTGGATGCAATCGATGTCAAAATCAACTTTAGTACATTATGCCTTGAATAACGTTTTTGCAAAACATACACATAAGCCATTCCGTCATAGGCCTGCTCATGGATGCAACTAGCGAAATGTAACGTCGCTCTCTTTGTGTTGTGAAATAAGGGAAATAATTAGTAGGAAACAATGTATTGCAAATGTCTTCCTGTATGGAAAACATATTACCATATGATCGTCTAGTTTTTTCTAGGTCTTGTGCCTCTTATCTTTTGGGCATCTTCTGAGTAATCATATTTTTTTGCCTCTGCGATCAACAGCCGTTTGCAACTTTGTTTCGATTTCTGAACTACGGTGCGCATTCAGCTATGATTATGAAAGACTTACAGTTAGGCTGCTAAGGATTCTCTTAAACAGGGCCTTCCAAAGCAAGTATCGACGGTAGTGACGTAGACTCTATATCCTTTAAATTATTCGCGGGCAAAAGCTTCTTTAGACAGCAATTGGCCGCCATGGTTTGAATAAAATGCCGATTTACTGCTCGGTTTCAGCACACTTGTCTGTACAGATGAAATAGACGCGCATAATGCTTCTTGTCTTCTACGTCTGCATTCAAGTTGTTAAGCATTACTTGGGACGACTGGTTCTCACCAAGCGTGTCTACGCTCAGATTTGACCATTATGTGTCCTCAGGCTTAGTAAGCAAGCAAGCAAGCAAGCAAGCTCGTCACTCATTGCGTTATCACAAGGGCAACCTCCATGTTACGTACGCTAACAGCTACCATAAACATTTTATCTCTTACTACTAGTTAGACTGCAAAGATGCACAAGATCATTCCAAGCACCTTCTGAGGCGTAACGTGTTCGAAAGTATAGAAGACAGTAAACGGTACAACAAGCCCATACCTGGAATAGCATATTCAAAATAGGTTCATAAATCAAGGTCTTGTTTTGAGCGAAACCTAACTTGAAAATGTACCGCCTAATGCTAGCCGATAAAATATATGAACAAAGTGCTCATAAAGGAGAACTCAGCTAGTTGAGTGAGTTCATTTTAACATATTGATTTTGAATCAATAATCTTTTTTTATTTCGATTGTATGTAGTTATAAAATTTAAATTTTATACTATACATATATACGAGTATATTTATTGATAACAGCGGCTGCAGCGGCCAACGTTTAGGTAGAAAATTTTGCTTAAAAAAAGTGAAGCGAAAACAAGTGGAAAATATAGAAAGCACTTTGGAATTTTCGATCCATCTAATCAACCACCATTTCATCAATTCATGTATATTTTTTCTTCTAAGCAATCTATTCACATGAATAGGAAAAATGCAAGCCAAACAAATATATTTTTTTTTTTTATTTTCGCCTATTTTTACCACTTGTGCCACACAAATTCAACAAAGTTCCAAATTAAATAAACCGCAAACACACTGTCAAGTCTTTACAACTGCGCGAACGTGGTTCGCTCATATATATTGTATCCTTATCTGGCAGCTTTTGATGAATAAGATTATTAAAATTACTATGTTGATAAAACTTTAATATGATCACAGCTTGAAAAAATCCTATATTTGCTGCTGAAGTCTCGATACGTCTTAAATAGACCTCCTATCAAGAATATTGTAGACATTTTGTAAATTGTAAATAAATTGCTGAATTGTTTGTCATATAATATATAACGGTTATAATCATGTTATCACTATATGTTCTTTGGAACAATTTTCACATCTGAGCCTTTTGGATAACGAGTGTACTGGTAAAACGCTGTTTAAGCCCAGCAGGTTCAGATAGTGTCAGCCATATGTCATTAATTTTTGGAGGATAACATAAATTGTAGAAAAAAAAAAAAGTATAAAAACTATTCGACCATGATTTACATCACCATAGATTCGAATAAACGTTTTCGCATAAAAATAAATAAAATTTTGACAATACGTCTCAGTGCTTGAAAAACACAACTATATTGTTAAATATGTAAATCGTATCTCTAAATATTTTCGTAGCTACCTGTTTTTACTACTGATATTTGTTTTTTTTTTTCCGCTACTTTAATCGAATAAATGTGCGTAGGCTTTATTTCAGGTTTATTTAGTTGATTCTGAGGTACAAGTAGAGCATGGCATGGAAAAAGTTTAATGGTATATTTTATACAATATGTACATCTTGTTACTTACTACCTTTAAATAAATAAAGTAAACATTCATGTAGTTTCGATAAAATCGTTATCGCATATGTTTTACCTAAAATACCCCCCAGAAGACAAACAAAAGATTAGCTCCATCTATTTATATTGTATATAAGATAATTTTCGATGAAAATTAATGTTTACATTCTGCTGGAAAAGTTCGACGAAAAATATTACTATCCCAATGTGAACTTTCGTTCCGACTTTAACCATTGTAGCAGTAAACAAGTCACGTTTTAATAACAACTCGGCTCGTAATAATAACATCCACAAATGCGCTATAATAACAATAATATTCTAGCGGCGACTCACTATACATAATGATTTGGTTTAGTGTGTATGATGAATCGCGGCATGTTATACCAATGGAACACAAACAATGTTATATCAAATATCAGGTCTGGGTCTGGATACGCGTGCGCAATCTTCATACAAAGTACATACGTTTTAGGGAACGTAAAGCATGCATATGGACATTTTGTAAATGCTACCTATTCTCGCCAGAAATTGTCATTTATTTAGCATTAACATTGTTTTGGCATTTTTTGTTTATACTAGTAGTAGTAGTAGTAGTAGTAGTAGTAGTAGCAGTAGTAGTAGTAGTAGTAGTAGTAGTAGTAGTAGTAGTAGTAGTAGTAGTAGTAGTAGTAGTAGTAGTAGTAGTAGTAAGAGATACCTAAAAAGCTATCTAGAGAAATGTTTCAACACGTATTCTGCTTTTCAAGTGAGGTAGTCTGATTTGACCTTGTATGCACGTTTCCAGATGTCACAAAGGCAGACGGTTGAGTGGAAGCGGAAGAAGATGACAAGCGGTGCTGTCACATGGGTTATGATTGTCCAGGCCCAAAACCCGTAAAAATGCATTTGGACAGGATTTGAATCAGCGCGTCGTGTTTCTAATGTGTTAATTGCCCACATGGAGAAGTTACACAGAATAAGAAACGTAACCATTTCCCGGCCCGGTTTTCGTTCAGCTTGATCATGACTCGCCACATATCGTCGCGATGCGTCTAGAATGAACATTGTTTGAAGGGAACCTTGGATCAGGCAGGCTAAAGCGGTAAGTATTGCAAGCATAGTGCTATCTCCGGCGTCAAAGTGACCTCCAATTATGCTAAAGACATTGTATAGGTACAAGCCACTTTGAGCAACAATAAGGAGAATCGACTCGAGATTAAGGTTTCTCGAGCGGTTGTATCGAAGCTCGCGGACTTGTACGAGCGCCGTAATCGTTGCCAGCGAAGCAAGAATGTAAACGACGAGTTCCGCAATGTGTGCTTCCAGAACAGCAATGTTCCGGTAACCAGGCTTATTGATTAAAACGAAAAATAAGATCAAACTGATTATTGATAAAACCAGAACAAGCAAACCCGTAAACAGACCTTTATTTGCTTTCGCGCAATCCACCTGGTAGTAATGCCTTTGACGCGCAGCATATATTGTCACGGAGGCCGTATCGCTAGATACTATCTTTGACGAGCTAACATTCTTCCACATGATATACAATACGCCGGCGCAGATAAGACTGTACTCAATTGTACATGGGAAAAGGAATGGAGAAGCGTTTTGAACGAGCTCGCCCATAATGTTTGCCCTCTGACCACAGTAGCTGTCAGGAAACGATCGACGACTCCGTTGCACGTGAGGTACAGCCTGATCTGTTACGTGTGAACTAGCAGAGCGATTGGTCTCTGAGGTGACAGATCCAAGCAGATCCGCCCGAATCACATGTGGCTGATGTGTTTCGTTACTGGCAAGGTCAAAAATTTGATGTTTTGTCTCTTGGATGAGCACGTGTAGCCATACACATAGGTTGCTTGAGATCATGTGCATTAAACCAAAACGCGCCAGTGTCGTAAACCTAAAAGCGGCGCACGAAAAAATACGTATTAGGCAGGTTCCATCTCAAAGAAAAGTTAGCCAAGGATGAATCGGTTATGGCTGCATGCTTGAAAGTAGTCAGTGAGAGCGAGCCGCATTAGATGTATGTATAAGGCAAACAATTACAGATCCTAATGGGGCTTAAGCGACTATCGGCAAAACAATGTACCAGACTCTAATGATAAAGCAATGCGTTTCAATTTCCTTCAAATATCAAACTTCAATTAAGGTCTTTACCTGTTGATAGCAACGCGTGAATTGATAAAGATGAAATAGAGCTGGAAAAACGTGAAAGCCATGCGTGTTGCTGGCGTGAGGTTGTGAAGTATGCTACATTGGTCGGTTGATTCGTATTCGAAGAACTGGCCAAACTCCAACCCAGAATAAATCATACTGCCGGTTCCAAAAGCTACAGCTCCCAACCTATAATAAAGAAATATACATCGAATTTGTCACTCGAATGGTATTTGTTGATCGGGCTTAGTGATAGGAGTCGAGCCTATGATGTGTATAGCTAATTTGAATTCTTCGATTTAAAGCTTGTGACTGTTACAGCGGTGTGAATGTGTCTTTAAAATGAATTTCTGCATACAGTGTCGAAAACTTTCCCTCGGTAAAGGCAGTCGATCTTACCGAATTTACCTGGGATTTTGCTACGATATCTAACGATATATAAAATCGCGTCGTAACCATTTAACATAATGGTCAAATCCGAATCAGCAACAGCCTTTTGCTCTTGCTTATCACGGCAATGCACTCAAAACGATACGTATTAACCACGTTGACCCGTGACTCCTATACAAGAGTTTTAAGAACACAGCGTATAGGTAATAACTAGCGTGCATTGTATAGGCAATAGCGAAAGCTTTCTACAGAATGCCCACTGTGAAGGGAAGGATTAATCGCAGTCATGTTTTTTACTCGTTTCACTATTGCTTCATTTCCGACATGTTACTAATATCCTAATTTTAGCTTAGTTGCATCTTTATGCGGCCCCTAGCTACCAGTCGTCCTACTAATAACAGGAAAAACAGGAGAAAAAGTAGAGCCTTCTAGGCGCTATATATATATATATATATATATAAGATGCAAGCAAGTTCCAACCGTAATTAAGGTAATATTGTCAATTCGCAGTTAATGTATTTGAGCATTGCATTATTATTATTATGCTCGGCCCATACGACCTTTGGCCTATTACGTTAGCGTATTTTTTTGTCCTTTACCATTTTTTAATCGAATTCAATGACAAGTAGACGTAAGAAGTAGTCTCGCGTAATCTTAAATTATATATATATATATATATATAGAGTTGCACTCTAAGTTGACCTCACCTTAGGTAAAAGCTACCAGCATGCGACGTCTTGAGCTCGTAAGCGGGCACCTTGTTTGATCTATCAGCTCTTGTTTTCGTAATTATTCTGAACTTGTCAAGCATCGAGGCTGTGTACTCAGATATCCGTGAGTTCGTACGTTTGGGGACTCGGGTAGCCTTTTGTTTTGGGAACACGAAACAGTACATGAAGAGGAGGAAGAAAATACTTCCCAAATATAAATAAAGATAGAAACCCTGCAACAAAAATAAATGCGGCTTGCATAAATATTAATATACACACGTTTGCATTCGTGCTGTTGAAAAACACTTACGCACTTAATCTCGTCGTTCAGGGGCTGTGTGAATTTTACTCATGTTTTAGATATTTGAACTTCCATCTTGAAGGCCAAAGATTACAATGCTTAATATTTGCCTACAAATTCTAAGTTATTCTTCCATGTTTTGAGTGAAAACAAAGTTTCTCAGCGACATGACAATTTATTGGGTTTGGCTATCGATTACACAACATGCTGTTTAAACTTAGTTGAAATGAAGGCGTGGATGGCAAATTGTATGGACCGGAATGAATGAATAATCGTTAGTGCCGGGTTTGAAGATTGCAGACGAAGTTCTAACTTAACCATTTCACTGATTAGTACACGTCGACACAGAAAATGTTCATAATAGTTATAGATAGAAATTACCTTTTCGGCGATTTTATGTTTTTTACGGATTTTTTAACGTAAAAATGTTATGTTGTTTGCTCGATATGATTGCAAAAAAGTCGCTGTCGGTGACCGTCTGAGATTCTCGTGTCCGTAGTATTCAGCACTTGAGCGATAATGCGGCATATGCTACAAAAATTATTAAGCAAATAATCCTATCTGGAATCTAGGCTTGAACACGGTGCACAATCGTTATCTTCGATAGCTTGTCAGCATTTTTAGCATAAAACAGATCTACTACAGAAGTTTAAAAGTAATCAATGCTCAACTTTTTTTCGGTTCAAGCACTGCCTTGCAAACTAGGGCAATGCCTTGTTGAGTGTCATCTGAAATTGTAACAAAAACTGATGTAGGTAATAAATGGTATCTGGTAACTAAATACTATCGAAAAATGTCCGATCATTCAAACCGACAGAGAAACCCCTTTCCAATGTTTTGAGTGACATATTTATAGACCTATTTATAAGAAAATGGCTAAATTAATGCAACTGCCCAATATAACTTGAATGAGGCTAAAATCTTAACCCTTTCGATACAATTTCTATTGACGAAAAATTACGCATGAGTCATCAAACCCTCATATTGCTAGGTATTTTTATTAAAAGTAATTTCCATTTTTCAGTGCTGAATGAAGGTATCTATCCGATGAGCTCGGGAATTTTAAAGAAGATCTGATGATTACACATATACTATAAGCGAAAAAGACAGCGACGATGACCCTACCTCATAGACTGCCGGTGGAATCCGTCTAGAGATGACTTCCGCCATGGGGAAGCAGATACCAAGAACGATCAATAGCTTTGCGTAGAGTGCACTAAGAATGATCACCAGCGAATCTCTGCAATGCCAGAGTTTAATAATTACATTATTAAATTTAACGCACTCCATGGCCGTAAATGGTTATGACAACATGTTTTTACAAAGCCGTTTTATCGAAGAGTGTTGAAAAGGATATTCTGCGAAGATATGACTTTTAAATAATTATTTTGAAAGATTAAACTAAGCAACAGTCCGCTAATTCGAGTACTTTAGATTTGACCCTTCGTTTGAACCCAGTTCAACATTACAATTCATTGCATGAAGAATTTATTTGGCTATGCATGTCATTCTTGTATAATTATAATAGTATCTAAGCGTAAATACTCATACATCATAGCGTAAACGGAAGAGACTCGGAGCTTGAACGTTGTCTTTGATAAAAAAAAATGACTGAAAGGGATAGGACGGAACGTCTTGTAATGCCAATATTACAGTACAGCATGCGTAAATTCATTCAGTACTGTAATATTGTTATGAAGGTCCATCAAAAATTAACAACTTGAGGTAATTATCTTATAATGTTAGGTTTATTTTTATGTGTCTAAGTAACTTTTCCTTGTATAGGAAATCTATGAATAGAGTTTACGCACTTGTCGTTGGGTCCAATATGACGTAGACCTCCACCCTTTGGCGTAATCGGCAAGCTAGAAACGGACCCGCCGTAAGAACTAGCTCTGGAAATAACAGGCCTCGGGTTAGGTATGTCGATATGCAGCGATCGCTTTAGGGAAGCTCCCCCAGCCATGGAGCCTCGTTCGGCACCTCCGTTAGCTCCAATACCGGAGTCATCCGATATTTGGGGTCCCACAATACGAGCATTCCCATTTGCTACTGCACCGGCTATTAATGCTTCAGATGCCTGGCCTTCGTCCTCCTCTGAAACAGTTCAGAAATAAATATAATTAATCTTAAGCAAGTTGAAAGGTGCAGCAGTTTCTACAAACAGTGAACTGTCAGAACATCGCTTTCATTCAAATGCACAATTATGTGTTTTCCTCGCCTAGAGCTAACCTAGAAAATCTAAAATACAGCATTAGCTTTATAGAGAAAAAGAAAAGTGTTGCGTCTTGCCTTCGACATACCACAATATTTTAGTAAAAGGAAGGGATTTTAAAAAGCAGTTCTTAAGAATTATATCAAGGCAGATATCTAGTTCATATTGCTTCCGATTCCAAAGACAGTACGTCTACGTAATTACCATGCGTGAATTATTTTACTTTCGTTAAAATTTGTTTTTATATTTTAGAACCGCGTTCTCTAGTTCCATATAGTTACGCTATAGTAAACGAATAAACATCCGGTTGTCAAAACTTATATTCTTATCGTACAAACTTATGCTCTTATCGTCGTTTCGCATCATGTGATACATTTGTGAATTTTTTGAGATTAAAAGATTACTGTGACTGATTTAAAAATAACATTAGAGAGTTATTTTTGGCTGTCTGTGCAGCTGAGTGTCAAGCTGGATTGTCCGTGGAAATTAGGAGCTCAGGTCTCATGCTGCTTATGTGTTGCGTTTATTTCCTAAAAAAATTTCCCCCCTGTTTGTCAGGGGGAAGTCATGAAAGCAAAATTACAGATGATCTGGCAGCGTCCGGCCAAACGGCTGAATTTTCTGGCTGATTGCGGCAGCATTTATCAAAACAGTGGCCACCAACAAATGCGGCAACGTCACCATCGCAATTGCGATCGCTGTGACCGCATCCATCTCTAAGGCTGGAACTGACAGAGAAGTCCGTTGACGGCATCCCTCCCAGTTGCAGTGGTCCGGTGTTCGTTGCTGCTTGTGGTACCTATCATTGTCGTACTCATGATAGCCTAAGCGGCATTTGTAGTCATATTGTACCCATAGTTGTAGTGGTAAAGTTAAGCGACCGTTGAATTCGTTCCTTCGATTCGGATCTTCACAGAACTGGGCATTGAACGAGGGTTACGAAGGAAAGCATAGTGAAGTTTGCTGAATGGTCGGTGCTACGACGGTGTCATCATTGCTTTCTTACTTGCTCTTTGTCTGCCCCTTTGTCTGACTAGCTTCGTAGCTGATCGGCCGTTTATCAGCCGGCCGTTCGTCCGTCCGCTGGCCAGCCCGTACTAGCATCTCCTCCAGACTGTGTAATTGCATGAAAATAGATTCGAATTGCCTAGTTTTTAGCTGTAACCTGGTCAGCTTTAGAAAAAGTAAAGAAGAACAAATCGCAGTCGAGGACGAGCTGCCACAGAAGAAGTAAAAATGATAAAAAAAAATGTTGATGTGATTCATGCGACAGCAGAACAATTTTCTAAGGAAAAGGGTCAAAGAAACGATTTTGTGATATCTGCGCCTCAATAACACAAAACACTACATGGAACAGAGACTTTTCCCGATATTTCTGTATTATCATCCTCAGGCTACACGCTTTTCAGATAGCTCTTCATTTCATATCGACATCAAGCTATATCTATATATATAAGCAAACAACGTTTGATGACATTTATGCTTATTGCATAAATGTCATCAAACGTTGTTTTGTGATGTCATTTGATGATGATGATATCTCACAACTGGTAAAAAGCAACATATGCGCGAACATAACTGTTTTTTGCTTATATTCATTCGTAGATGTTCAGTTTATGCATTTTTTTATGCATGTATACAAATTGTGTCAACACATGTTGCTATTCCACAGTACGTTAATCGTGTTGGGGGACCTTTGGTCGAATCACAGTTTCAATGATAGCTCTTGTAATCGAAACAATTTCAACGTAAAACGAACTCGGATACACCAACTGCAGTTCAAGTCTCTCAAGTAGTGTAATCTAACGCTTTAACGATCGTAGATAATTGAACGAAATCCTGCATATTAGCGGACACCAAAGCCAAGCTTCGAAATCAACAACAATACGCCCTGCCGCTTTCACATAAACGGATCAATCGTCTTAATTAAACGTACAGCCAAACAAAAACATAAACGTATCGCCTTAAATCAGCATAATTAACATTGACTCGGCGAGTTTTCTACTTGTTTTTTTTTTTTCTTCGAAAAACTTTTGTCGGCTCCACTGTGCTGAACATAATATTTCGATCAATACTTTCAAAATAATTATTATTCATATCTAATATACGAAGATACTTTTTGAGATTGTCTTATTTTATTTTTATCATTTTTATTTATTTAATTTTAGCATATCATTTTCCGTATATATATATATATATATATATATATATATATACATATAGCCGTAATGCGCTACTCTCTTATTACTATTATTTGCTGTATTCCGTTAAGTTAGTTTCGATCAACTTCAACATTACATAAACATAGCTTAGTTTTTAATTACTTGGAAAGCTGCGTAATGTCCGCAGCCTTTGTTCGACTTTAAGCCGATGTCCTTTCGAATGACCTTGTTCATGTACCGCATCGAAATTTAGCCTGGAATTTTTGCAAGAGTGTATTTCTTATGCAGCGTATTACGCTCGGCTCCTATACATCGATAATAAGGAACATAAAATTTATCCATCTACGTTTTACGTGTGTAAGCGATTTAAGAGTCGATAAGAGCGATACATTAAAGCCGCTCACCGGATTATAATCGTACGTTGTATTTCAAGTTCATATGTACAAAAGCATCTATTTTATCTATAGGAGATTAGCGGATCTCTGATAGATTACACTAAGTGGATAAGGTAACAAGCGGAAGTTCTTGTTGAAGAATACAGCAGGCAGTTTGTCCGGACTCGGGCCGGAACGATAGATACAGATATCGAGTCTACTGATCGGGTAGCGAACTGGTTTCTGGTTGATACACAATGTGTGCCATGGTTAACTTTACAGTTGATTCGCGAAATGGTCTATTACTGGCGACGCGCGCATCGTGCTTCTACGTGTTTTTCCCTATTTGCTGTTCGACATCTAAACGGCTTTTAGAGCGGCCAATGGTGACACTTTTGATGATTTGTGAGCCGTTCGAGTGAAATACATTATTTCTGAGTTCACAGGCGTACGTTTGGTGTGCATCAGGCTGTTTCGACTAAAGATCATCCTTCTTTAAACGTTCGTAACAGCACAGCTTCCCTATGTTTACCCAAATGCACGTAAGAAACAAACGGCCTTTCGATAGTAATACATCATGGTAGATACTCCTACAATCCTCTTCGCCCTCGCATCACGCTTGATAGCAAAAGGCCAGTTACTGAAGAGAAGCTAAACTAAAGCAGTCCCAGTGCTATCGTAATGGATAGCGAGTTTCCTCTCGAAATTCGAGGTATTTGAAAGTCAATGTTGTGACCGTCGTTCCCAGCCCTCACGAGTGCTGCTTTTGCAATGAAGATCTTCTTACGATTCAAATAAGTTCTTCTTCCCTGACCGCTTCTTACTGCCCAAAAGCCCGTAAAGCGTTATGCCCTGATAGGCACAACAAGGAGCATGGTGGTAGGTAAATGCAGCTATTTGTCATGATTCGCTACTAAAGTAAGTGATTATTTTTCAAAATCCTCTTGAATGGAGAAACACAGGCAGCATTAACATATGCGAACAATAGGTGCGGACTGCTAAAAACATGCGAAATCGAAAGGTACAAAAGGAGCACACGAAATTAACATGTGACAGATGTGTATGACAGCACAGAGGAAAAGAGACGCGAAATCCTTAACGGACAAATAAAATTTGCTGAGAAATTTGTCTACGTGAAATGGCACAAATACATAGATTAACGGTCGTCTAGCTCTGGCTGATAAACGATCCAGAGGCGAGAATCATATCAACTAATGCTCGTGTGAAAGGAAGAGCTGGAAGTGTCCGATAGATAAAGGAAAAGCTTTGAATTGCGGAAACGCACGGGCTGAAACAGGCATAATACGCAGTGCCGAAATTCCCACTTAAGCAAGGATTATAGAACCCCGACGTATTCGCAGAAAAAGCCCCCGTAGCCGGTATATCGATGAGAATTTCTCAAATATGATATTCCTATAGGGCAATAGTGGCAGAGCTTGGCAAACAGAAATAAACAATGACTTCAAGAAACAAGAAGTATATCTTTTGATAAGGACGACTGCACTTTGTGTTTTCGTTGCACAAAGGGAATTCAAGTTGGATTCAAAAAGCGGCAATAGCTCTGTAAAACAAATGTCACCGGGGTGGATGCGGAACAAGTTACTTTCAGACACTTTTCTCGCGAAGCCTCATTTAAACCATCTCGTACTATACGTATAATACCACACTGCTATTGATCTATTGCGTAATACGTTCTTTTCTAATTACGCATATAGGGTACTATCTGTTTATGAGGATTATTGTGCTACCGATATAATGAGTCTACTGTGCCTTGTAATATTAGATGACTACCACTGTACTATCATGCGGAATGTCCTCGAGTATGTTTCGATCGTAGCGCTGAGTTAATCTGTTATGCTGCTAGGTTTATAGTACAATAGACGTATGCAAAAAACGTTTAGCGCAAATTAAAGACTTTTTTTTTTCATTTAAATTTGGGATAAAGTTGAGCGTTCATTCATATTTGCATAGCTTCTAATAGATTACGTTTTGTGAAAGACTCGACTACCCCCTGCTCCGGCCCAGAAATTTATTTTACATTTGTCTAGTTGGCACATTAGTTTATATTGTTAACCGCTGAATAATATTTCCCAAACGTTGGCTTTCCTCAGCTAGCGGAATTATCATAATGAATTTTACGACGTTATAAAATGACGTTACTAAACTTCAACCGAGCACATCTTAATGCTAACTTTCCACTACCGTTAAGATTATTATGAAGGATGCCAACTAAACGGCCCGTTTCCCTGGTACAGTTACGTATAAGTTATGTGGTGCTTTAACGATAATGTTGTTTCAGTAGCTTTCTAGGCTAAGAGAGACTGTCGCAATCCTAGTTAGGATAGTGGAGTGTTATTATTCTACAAATCAAGCACAGCTGGTAGCTGTAGCTTTTCAAGCGAATTTCAACACAGTTTATACATTGGACCTTTCTAACATTAGATTACGGAATTGTTAAATTGGTAACTTTAATAAAATTGTAATAAAAGCCGATATTTGCTTTATGATCTGTTTGATTACACAAGTTAAATTCCGCCGAGTTCAAATAAATTAATTACTTTGAAAGAAAAATTTTAAGTTTTACAATTTTCTACACTAACACGATTTGACACACTGTAATAATAATAATAATAATAGTAATAAAGTTACGGATGATCGTTCAACCACTGCGTCCGCTTCAAAGGCTGTGACCTATTCCTATTGTACAATTGTTTGCATAACCTTGAGTCGGCCTTGAAAGAGAGGCGAAGGTTATATTGGACAGTTAATGAGCTGTGATTGAATGAAATCGTACTGAGAGATAACATCTGGTACCGACGAGAGTTTTACACACTAACGTTTCGTGTAGCAAAGAGCCTGGGTGTCACTCTAATCACAAAACGAGCAACTACGCGTATGCGTATATGTGTGGCACATACATTCGATATTTAAATTAAAATAACAGAATATTGCCTCTTGGTGTTTACACTGTTGATTTTCGAAATGTTAAGCAGCAAAGGGATGGTCTAGCTCATTGCAAATGCATTGATTTCGATGCATCGAAAGTAGAAAAATGAATGGAGATTTTATTTGAAGCGATTTTTAACTTACATAATACGTAATACGTAACTTTAGGTAAAATAGTGTCACTAGTAGAGGCTCTAGATCTGACAAAGTATGTATATAAAAGAAATACATGATATACCAGAGTCAGTATTTTCTTGATCAGCAGTCAATATTATTACACACATTGAAATGTGTTCCACAAGTTCATAAGTGCCATAAAGTCATATGATAATGATTATAATCAGTCATATAATTACGATAACACCCGTCTAGCGGTACAGGTTGACTTCGACATCACTCTTTACAGTAAATCAGACACTATCGTCATTTGAGAGTCAGCTTAATCCCGTAATTTAATGTTGGCCACTTTCATACAATCGGAGTTATTTTTTATTGCGGCCCGATTTTCGGTCGCAATCGAAAACTAAACACAAAATCATCAACCAAAATGACTTTCCTGATCCGGTGCGTGAAGTGATGATACGCTTGACTGCCTTTTTTGGCCTAAGGCATCCGCATGACGAAGGTTGGTAGTACCGCTGTCTACGGGCGATATCTTCGACATCAACGTTACAAATTTCCAGCAATTTCGATTAGTCTGTAGCAGAAGTGTACAGAAGGATACCGAAGTAACAATACACTCGTACTAATAATGAAATGATGACAATTCAATATATAGTAACATTTGCTCGAGTTTTTATTTACACGTATAATCGTCTCAGTTAGGTCAAGAATCCATGTTCTTGTCCATGCTCTGTTATCTAGGCTATACTTGACCTCACTCATCCTCGCATAGATATTTCTGCACTAACCAGTGCATAAGTCCCATATTCATTTTAATTATGTACAATACATTTCGATTAATTAGCTCACTCAGAGGTTGCCGCGCCTAACACTTGCAATAATAGGAGAAATCATGTTAATAATAAGATGACAGCGCAATCAATGCGCCTCATATAGAGTTTCTTGAAACTGTGATTCTACCCTAAGACGACTGCAGCTTTCACTGACGAAGTTTCGAACGGAGTTATTACACTGTACGCGCGAAACAGGCAGGGTTCTGGATATTTTTCAGCGTCAGTCAATACGTCTCTGGCTGTTTCTTGAATAATTTAGTTTTCTATAGCTTTTATCTTCACCGTCGATAGCGGACAAGTAACCGAGAGAAGTATCCTATCGCCTGCTGACTAAGTTCCATGAGGTTAACAATAACGTCGAAAACAACACTTCGACTGCCCGCTATACTTCCACTTTTACTAATCTTCAGCATCTTTTTCCAAGGGGAGTCTGTCTGGTTGGCAAGTCTATACCGTGCAGCATACGCATAGTTCACTAAAGAATTTACCCTCTCGGGATGATTCGTTATAATGCCATCGACTCCACTGTGAAGAGAATTTTCCAGGGCCGAAGTCAAGTCAATTGTCCAATGATACACTTTGTGAACGTATCCATTAGTGGCGTCACGGAGTTCAATGGCTTCGCGAAGACGATTATCGGGCCTCATACCGACAAGACAGTTAGTAATACCGTCACCTTGCCAGATATTCTCAGAGATACCGAGTGCATCGTACATCGAGGAGATTTCGGTCAGCTGTGAGTTTAGGCCAACATCAAAGCCAATCCGATTGCGGTATGTACGATACTCACTCTTGCTCAATTCTCCCAAAAAACCTTTAAATATGTTTTTGTCTTCTGCTCGAGGAATTGAGATAAGTACGTTTACACGATTCGTTTCGCTTACTTGGTACCAAAGGTAATCAACTAATTTGCTGAAGAGATCAATACCCGCATAAGTTTGTGTGCTCTTAGCAAGCTCTTGTACCTTTAAGTCAAGCATAAGCATAGCTACAGTTTTGTTGCCGTCCTTAGTCAGCTCTCGGATGTATTGTAAGAAGTCCACAATGTTCGAGCGTAGCATACAGCGTCGAAAACAGTCACAAGGTACTCCGTGGTATGTTGTCTTAGCTAGCCCCTCAACAGAGAAATTCACGTCCGTCTCTATAGCATTGGCACCCTTTTTTAGATAATAATCAATCTCGGGAATTGAATTTACCATATGAGCGATATTGTAGAACGGCCTTCTATCATCACTGATCATGAGAGGTGTGCCGAGAGCGTTGCACAACTCTGTGAGCGGTATCAGTAAAACAGTTAAAATTTTCATCGTCACGACACACAGCCCTAACATTCACAATGGAAATAAAGGTTAATTTTGTTTTGGAACTCCCATCCACGAACTCGACTCACTCAAGATGATCCAGGCAACATTGGTGCGTAACAGTAACGCTAATAACATCCGCAGAAGCAGCCCTCCTTGCCTGTCTGCTTGTTTACCTCCACTTTGTTAGAGAGCGAGATAGAACAAGTAGGCAAGCTAGCAATACGAAAACATTCAGCTTTTAAGATAGCGGCATAAACGATGCATTAATGCCGCTCACAGTCACCGACCAAATGGGCGTCTGTCTTCGATTATTGAGTAGCAGCATCGGCGTCACTCTTTCTTACATCTATATACCTGCTTGTAACTATCTTTCTATTGGATACCTGTATCCGTTACGAACATGCGAACTTTGCTATTGCTTGCGAAGGGTAACACCGAACAGGAGCTACGAGAGCGATGGAGCACCGGTGCGGGTTCCGATGCGCGTAATTGTCGACGTATTTCTGGCGGCCGGTGTCACAGAACCACCTTAGTTGTTTCCTGCTCTATACGACCGGCTGTGTATCGCGGCTGTGCACAATTGCTGATGTCTCACGGGATAGGCGCGGCAGAAAACTGGAGCCGGCGTTGTGAAGAGGCGCCGGATCTCGACTTCGCTATTCCACAAATTCACAGCGTTATGTGCAAAATGCCTCACTGGGTCGATAAATGCCAGCCCGGAGAGGGTAAAGCATGTAGGTGAGGGACAGAAGAGAACTAACGTGTTGAGGTTCCCAGGCACCAATTGTTGTAGCTGAATTTAAAGGTAAGAACTTTTGCTGTTCACTAAGCAGCGCACAACTGACATAAGACATTCAGTAATATCTGTGTCCACGTATGTCGGTGTGTGTGTATGCACTATAGATAAACAATCGTTATCACAATGAAGCTTTCATACTTTTTATATGGACCGAACGCCAACGAGCTCAAATTTACGTTTGGGAAGCACTGAGAAATGGCCACGCTGTCATATTTGTTGTTTGATATGATCCACCTGTTAAGTGTCAGTGGGACACTTCGTCATAAATTACCTTCGATTTGCCATCTGACGCATATTCTTCTGTCGTCCATTAGCGCTTTTCGTTTAATGCAGTTCCTCCTCGTCGCAGTAAGGCTTTCTAATCGAACACTCTGGACTAACATAAAAAAAAAACATCGATATCTTCGATGCAGAACACATGGGTGCCAGGTAATGTGAAATACCTCATGTGCATTGCTCGTGTGCCGCTTTCGCTGAATACAGATAGGAAAGCATCGTTAACTGAAACCCCCGTCGTCACCTTCTTCCAATATGTTACTCAACTAAAATTTACTTAAGGAAAATACAGTGAACACTAACAACAAGCGTTAGCGGAAAAATAAAGCGTCTCATGACCAGAACTTGAATACGATTAACGAACTAATTATCGGATTCTACATTCAAATTATCAATTTCAAAGTTGTGTTCGTTAATTTTTGGAAGCGGATTAATAGCAGATATCTGTTTCTATAGGAAGGTCACAGAGAAGTACCGTTGTAAAATATTCGATACATTCGAAATTAGCAAGGAGACTGATCTTTGAATAAGTAT